CGTGGATCAGGTTGAGTGCTTTGATTGTATTATCCCTGGCTTCCTGTCCCTCAACGAAGCCCACCTAGTCGGGGTGGATGAGGCCCGGTAGTAGGGGTTGGATGCGGAGTGCCAAAATTTTTGCGAAGAGTTTCAGATCGGCGTTCAGCAGGGAGATCGGTCGGTAGCTGGTACTTCCCCTCATTAGGCAACACTACTACGTGTGCTAAGAGCGTGTTGGGATCCAGCGATCCACCTTCTTTGATTGCGTTAAATAGAGCACGGAGGTGAGGGGCAAGAGTGTCCGAGAACATCCTGTAATATTTTATTGTGAAGCCATCAGGGCCTGGGCTTTTCCCTGGTCTGGCCCGTTTCAGGGCAAGGTTCAACTCGTCAATCGTGATTTCTTCCTCCATGGCTGTCACGGTTTGGGCATCCAATTTGGTCGGCATATATTGTGCTATATAAGATTTCTGTTGGTCGAGGAAGGTTTCACTTCTGTTTTCCAGTGTCTGTGTTTGGTGTGGTAGGCAGTATAGTGATGAGTAGTATATACGGAAGCCCTTGGCGATGGTCTTGGGGGTGAGGAATGTGTGCCCTGCGTGTTTTATTCTCTGTACAAAGCTTTTTTGCCTGCGCGCCCGCAGTGCTATTGCCAGCATCTTTCCACTCTTGTTCCCATACTCATAGAAGGCTTTTTTAGTGAGATGGAACTGGAATTGGATTTTCGATGTTAGGCAAGAGTTAAGTTGCGCCCTGACCTCTAGGAGTCGTTTGTAGGTATCTTCGTTAAGATCAGTTTTATGCTGGTTTTCCAAGTGGGATAGTTGGTCAGTCAGGTGAGAAATTTCCTGAGATCACTGTTTCTTCAGTCGAGATCCATGTTTGGTAAGAAGTCCTCTTACTACGCATTTATGTGCTTCCCAAATAGTTGAATGCTTCGAATCAGAGGGTGTGTTAGTGTGGAAAAAGTGTTCCATAGTGGATCTGATATCCGCCTGTATCAACGGGTCATCCAGGAGGGATTAATTCAGTCTCCATGTCCACTGTGTCCTATATGGTTGAGGACTAGCCATGGAGAGGAGCAAGGGTGCATGATCTGACCAGGACATTGGTGCTGATATCAGTGAGTCCAGGTATCTATGTTGCATGAAGAAGTAATCGATCCTAGAGTAGGATCCATGCAGTGTGGAGAAAAAGGTGTAATCCCTATCAGCGTGATGTAGGGTGTGCCAGCAGTCTGAGAGCTGGTGCTCGGACAGGAGGGTCCTCATGCCTCTGAGCACATAGTCCAGTACTGTGGAGGTCCCTTTGGACGTGTCTAGCCTGGGGTCTAGAGGAACATTAAAGTCCCCCCCCATGATGAGGGTCCCCTCTCCGAACAATTCCAGCTTGCGAAAAACTGAGGCTAGGAAAGGTTTCTGTCCCTTGTTAGGCAGGTAGATGTTTGCGAGTGTAATTAGGGAATCACCTGTGCCCTTTTCAAAAGAGATATCTGCCGTCTGTGTCCTCTTTTTCCGCTTCTAGGCGGAATTGCGTGTTGGCTGAGAACAATATCGCCACTCCCTTTGATTTAGACAAGGGGTTGTGTGCGAAATAGCCGTTGGGGTAGTATTTGTCTGAGAACCTGGGTGCTCGGCCGCCGAGGAAGTGGGTCTCCTGGTAAAAGGTAATCAACACCCGCAGTGCTCACAGTTCTCATAGAGCTCTTGCCCTTTTGTTGCGGGTAGTTGAGCCCTTTGCGTTGATCGTGTAAAGTGTGATACCTCCCCGTGGCCCCCTCCCGGCACCTGGGAGAGGGGAGGCGGGAGAAGACGAGCCCATGGTGGAGAAGGGTGGGGGAAGAGGGCCGTGGGGCCAGGCCTAGTTGGTGGAGATATATAGTTAGAGTACTTAAGCTATTTCTTTGAGCTGTTCCTTTAAGCTGAATAATTACTTATTAATTCTCTGTTAGTCAATAAAGTTTGTATTGATTATTTACAAGTACTTGATGTCAGTGTCTTTCCCTTTCTCAAATACTCAATTTACTCATCCCGAATATGGTTTTGGTGCCTACCAATATCTTTAAAAACCTTAGGGTAATTGATTATTGCTTTTTGATATTGGTGCTTCATGAATTTAATGATTAGGCACAACAGATGTCAAGAAACACGTGGCATCCGGCAAATAAGTGAGACGTGCCGAAACCTCCCAGCACACCGTGACAAGTACTGTGTTAGGGTGCTCAGACAGGGGCGGGACTATTGCAGGCCTTTCAGCCATCCCAATTTTGGCAGGCCGTGTTTTTGGCAAAACCAGATAACTCTCCACCAAGCATAACACAAGCCACTTATTAGATGAGCATGCAATATGCTCAAGCCATTAGGACCCTGGATAAAGCATAGTGATGCCTGCATGATCCGCTCTCAGTGGATGATGTACAGGCAGCCAGCCTGGTGTGTGCATTCACACCAGGCTGACCTGACATTTCTTTGGGTTGGACCCACACACTTTCTGAGTGTATCGGCACCCTTAGGGTGCCTATCTGTTTGTAATATTTTAATGCAAGAGAACATACTTGCCCAAATACAAATAAATGTTATCATCGATGGTATTAACATTGTACTGTCTAATAATAATGGTTCTGTTTTCATTTTCAAAAACAAGGAATTATTATGGACACTCGCTTAGTGCCAAGTTAAAGCAATTTATTCATGGCCAAATTGGAAACTTTTTGAATAGAAATCAACTACACTCCAGCACATTCCTTTTAAAAGGTTCAAACCAATGCTCTTATCAATCAGACTACTTGCCACAATGAGCTTGTTCATTCTCAAGTAATCTCTCACATGGATTACTGTAATTCTCTCCTAATTGGTCTCCCCAGAAGCCATACTGCCACCCTATAATCTGTGATGAAAGCTGCTGCCAGGCTGATCTTACTCTCCTTTCGCTCCTCTCACACCTCACCCCTCTGTCGATCCCTACATTTTCTTCCTGTACCCTACAGGTGTCAATTCAAAATACTAACACTTACCTATAAAGCTCTAACCAACTCTAGTCCTTCTTAAATTTTTTCAATGATTTGTAGTTATGTCCCCTCTCGGTCTCTCCACTCTACTGCTGACCTTCTCCTGTCTGCTGCTCGCACCCTTACTGCAAGTTCATGCCTGCAGGACTTCTCGCGCGCGGCTCCTTTCTTTTTGTAGGTTCCAATGTCTATAAATTGGCTTCTTTAAAAAAATCGTACTGGGAACTATCGTTGAAAACTAGAGGGCATGAGAAATCTGAGGAAATATTTTCCTTATCTTTAGGAGCAAGAATACTTTTATATCTATATTAGCCACTCTTTCCATAGCTTCAAATGAAAGAGATGGATTGTATTCTTGCTCCATAAATTGAGATTTCACTTTATCCATTTGTTTCCTACAGACATCCTGGTCTGAACAATTTTTCTTGATCCTCAGGAATTGTCCGTAGGGAACATTTTGTAACCATAATGGATAATAACAGCTGGACGTCCAAATTAAACTATTGAGGTCCACGCTTAAAAAAAAAA